AATTTTGGTTTGGTTTTTACAAATTCCCTAAACTTCTGTTAACCTGGAAATGCCCTAATTTTGCCATCATATTTGAGAGATGGTTTTGCTGGTTATATAATTCTTGGCTGGCAGTTTTTTTTCCTTCAAGGCTTTATATATGTCATCCCATTGCCTTCTTGCCTGCATGGTTTCTGCTGAGTAGTCTGAGCTTATTCCTATTGACTCTCGTTTGTAGATGACTCCGTTTATCCCTAGCTGCTCTTAAAATTCTCTCTTTATCTTTGGTTTTGGCAAGTTTGATTATAATATGTCTTGGTGACTTTCTTTCGAGAGCTACCTTATGTGGGGTTTGATGAGCATCTTGGATAGATATCTTGTCATCTTTCACGATATCAGGGAATATTTCTGCCAACAAATCTTCAACATTTCTCTCAGTATTTTCTGCTATCCCCCCATTCTGGTACTGCAGTCACTCGTAGGTTATTCCTCTTGATAGAGGCCCACATAATTCTTAGGGTTTCTTCATTTTTTTAAATCGTTTTATCTGATTTTTCCTCGAATAAGTTGGTGTCAAGTGCTTTATCTTCAGTTTCACTAATTCTGACTTCCATTGCCTCAGTTCTGCTCATATGACTTTCTATTGAGTTGTCTAATTCTGAAATTTTATTGTTAATCTTCTGGAATTCTGATTGCTGTCTCTCTATGGATTCTTGCAGCCTGTTAAATTTATCATTATGTTCTTCTCTAATCTTTTTAATTTCCTCTATTGCGTGTTCTGTGTTTTGCTTAAGTTCCTTCCTAATTTCTTGAAGAGTTCTGTATATTAATCTTTCATATTCTGCCTCCGGTAGAATATTTTCCTCTTCTGGAAAATTTCTAGATTCTTTATTTTGGGAGCTTGCAGAAGCCATCATGGATTGCCTCTTTATGTGATTTGATATTGACTGTTGTCTCCAAGCCATCAATAAGTTATTACATTTATTTTATGTTTGCTTACTGTGTCCTAGCTTCTTGTTTTGTTTTGATATGCCCACATAGGCTGCGCATATGAGCTAGTTTGATTATTGGCATCTTTGAAGCTCTAATGTCCTGTCACCAGGTGGTTAGATTTGTTAGTAGGTATGTGAGCTCAGGAGTCTGCCCACTCCTTCTGTATGGATTTAGCTGAGGTGCCCAGGTAGATAGCCACCAAGTGTGTGGTGTAGGCTCTCACTTACAGTCCTAGACAGGCATGGGTGATTCATGTAGGCACAGGCATCTGGCTGTAACAGGGGGACACCCTCTGAGCAAGGCAGGGGGCTGATGGCCACCCTCAAGTGTCCAGGAGGAAGGCGTGTCCCTGTTCCCTAGAGCACGTAGGTGGGTAGGTGGTTTTGTAGCTGGACTATGAGCATCTAATGCTGTTGGCTGTGAGGACTGGGGGCACCTCTTATTCATGGGCCCCTATCACAGGTGGCTAGGTGGTGTGAGTGGAGCCTCCAGTCCTCAGGCCACTGATGTGGGTAGGTGAAGACCCTGTTTTAATGGGCAGAGCAGTGTCAAATGTCAAGAACCTACCACTTCACAGCTGAAACAGTTGAAGTTAGACTTCCAGTATATACCCTGCTATACTGCAATAATGAAGGCCTATGCTGTTGAGATGGGCCCACACAAGTCTCTGCAGGGGGAAAGGCACTCAAAGTCCATGGATCTCTTATGCCTGTGTCTAGGCAAAGGAGCTGTGCCTACCCTGGGTTCCTGGCTTAGGAGAGCCGGCAGTTTATTTTTTCCCATTTGTTAATTTGTTCACTCTCCAAGGCAGGGAGAATGGCTCTGGGTGTGTGATGGATCCTACTTCCATCCCAGGGGACTCAGCAATTGCTAAAGCCAGTTCAGGACCCAGTGCAGAGCAGGGAGTGGGGAGGTAAATGGGAGAGAGGTTTTCCCCTAAGGGGGGTGTTTTTGATCTGTGCGATAGGCCGTATGCAAGTACTTATTGTTCACCAATCCAGGGCTGCTTCTCACTGGTTCTGGGTGGCCGTATAGACTCTCTGATGCTGCGTCTCTCCTGGTGTGGAAAACACGCCTCCCGAGTACCGCTGCTTGCCTGCCTCACTGCTCACCCCCGAGCTGCTCAGGCCTGAAGGGCTCAGGCTCTCGCCAGGTCAGGTCTGGCCACTGCTCACTGCTTCTGAACCATCTCTCCCTCCCCCTGCCACTCAGTCCAGTTCCTCAACTCTGCCTTTGATGTTCAGGGCCCCCAGATTGCCATATATAATCAATTCACTTGTTTTTTCGAGTATTTGTTGTAAGAGGTCCACCAGAAGCGTCCGACTACTCTGCTGTCTTGTCCCCACCTCCCCAAACACCCATAATATTTATGACAAATTTTTTTAATCATGAGAAGTATGTTTATGCTGATCTAGAAATACAAAGCATGCTATTTTAGATGTTTTTCTCTCCTTTGTCTTCAGCCATCCCTCTGGGTATTCTTGTCGTGCGTGGAGACTGTGATTTGGAGACGTGCCGCATGTATATAGACCGCCTGCAGGAGGTGAGTTTATTCACTGGGCTGTGTCCTCTCCTCAGCCTTTTGGTTCTGTAGACAGTTAACAACCATGCATATCTGCTTGCGAAGTGATACATTCTGGAAGGAAATGGAAGTGTGGTGGCCTTGTCCTTTATGCAAAGGAGCCATGGTGGCACAGTGGTTAAGTGCTCACCTGCTAACCGGAAGGTCAGCAGTTCAAATCCACTTGCTGCTCTTTGGGAGAAAGATGTGGCAGTCTGTCTCCATAAAGATTTACAGCTTTGGAAACCCCACTGGGCAGTTCTACTCTGTCCTCTAGGGTTGCTATGAGTCAGAATCGACTCCATGGCTGCTGGTTTGGTTTTGTCCTTTAAGCACACACCACAGCTTCTCCCCCTTGTTGTTGTTGGGTGCTGTGGAGTCAGTTCCAACTCAGAGTTCATGTGACAGAGTAGAACTCCCTCAGAGGATTTTCTAGGCTGTAATCTTTATGGAAGCAGATCACCAGGTTCTTTTTCCCTTGGAACCACTGGGTAGGTTAAGCTGAGCACTTAACCATTGCACCACCAGGGCTTTTTCTCCCCCTAACCCTGCTTTTTCCCCAGAGGTAGTTGACCTGAGAGAGGATCGCATAGGGTTAGCTACAGGGTAAGGTTACTCTAGTGCGTTCCATAATCGGACCTTGCAACTTCTTGTCTTCTTGCCAGACCACCTGTTGCCATTGAGTCGATTCTGACTCATAGCAACCCTGAAATACAGGGTCGAACTGCCCCATATGCTTTCCAACGCTGTCATCTTTACAGAAGCAGACTGCCACATCTTTCTCCCGCAGAGGGGCTGGTAGGTTTGAACCATCAACCTTTTGTTTAGAAGCCGAGCACTTTAACCATTGCACCACCAGGGCTCAGTCTTGTCAGACTACATACCTGTAATTTTTGAGCTAAAAGAGTTTCAAAGGGCACTGATAAATAATGAAGGAGTACAGAGACCTGAAATTTTTTTAGTGTTTTATATCTATCATAGACTTCTGTCAGATACAGCTTTTTTTTTTTTAAAATGTAACTTCTACAGGAAAGAAAAACCTTTTGTTTCATAGGATTTTGTGTCAGTACACAGTGGAAAAATCTATTATTTTTTCCCCCTCAATCTGGTTGTACCATCGAGAAACAGAAAGGAAGGAATCTCCTACATGGAATTACCATGAATTTGAACTGCACCAGCAAAGCCAGGAGACCCAAACCCACCATGACAATTGTCACTGGTTGTTACTTGCAAAACTTTGAGTATTAACTGTCTCCATTCCACAAATGGCAAAAAGCAAAGAGGGACTTCTTTACCGTTTGATGAAAGAAGGACATTAGAGTCTTTTCTGGGGTGAGGACTAGACATCTGTGTTTTTAAAGCTGCTGAGGCGGGTCTAATAAGGACCCCTAATTGAGAACCTCTGTTCTGGATAACACACTGTACATAAGGAAATATCACAAATAAAGTCGATACATAGAATTTAAAATCCTTTCAAGTTGTAGCCACTTAGCTTTGAATGCACTCAATGCTGTTTCTCATGGTGGAAATAAATTTGGGTGGAGGCATAAACTGGCATGAAAAGTTATTAATGTCTGTCCCTTCAGCATTGTTGAGGATAGAGATGGAATTGTGAATGCAAAAAACTTAGAGAGAAATGCCAAAATTTGAATGCTAATACAGATGAGAGAAGAAGAGTGCACAAATGTTCCACCTGTGGCTTCACTTAGCTATTTTTACCAAGGGTAACTGCTTTTGTGGGTTACAGTTGGCGAACTCTTTAGCATGTGACTCAGCTCAGGTCTAAATCTATAGTCCCAGCACATATAATATCTCATTTTTCAAAATAGCATTGGTATTTAATGTAGAACCTTATGCAAAAGACCTGTAATACAAATTGGTACCAAACCTGTATTTATTTATTTATTTTACACACCGGGATAACTTTGTTTAACAAGGCTTCACAGTAGCAAAATACACAACTGTTTAATTGACTGTGTTAAAAACTAACTTATTGGCGTCCTTATTGCACCAATATTCAGCTAAAAGTAAGAGTCTTAAAAAAAAAATGTAGAGAATTCAGCAAATAAAGAGGAAAAGTTTTAAGCCTAACTTGGGCAGAGAGAGTGAGTTGACAATCCCTATGGGGAGCAGGTATAAGGACAAAGGTACACAGGATGCCGACATCTGTAAATAGAATCGCTTCCCTCATTAACAGGGACACCTGCAGGATGTGACAGTGGTGGCAACTCAGTTATAAAACTTTATAAAGTGAGTCAGACTTTCAGAATCTGCCAGTACAACCTCATTAATTGAGCGTCTGGTAATTTGCACTCCGTGATAGTGCAAAGATAGCTGGTGGTTTTTCTTTACGCAGTCTGAGAAAACCTGTGTGTTTGCCAAGCGAGTTCTCGGTATAAACACAATTACTATGGCAGTATTTATTGGGTCTAAATAAAGAAAGTCTTTCTAAGTGCTTAAAGGGACTTGTGAAGCCTTCTTCACAAGCCAAGAGTTCAGTTACAAATTATCTCCAGTCCCTACTTATTACAACAAAATTGGCTTTACTTTTTGATCTTCTCTGTCCTTGAAATTTATCGTTCATCTCCCACCTCTAAACCATATTTAAGATTTATAAGTTTCAATAGCTAAGTGACCTTTCTTCTCTCAGTCCGACTTGGTCTGCTTTTATTATTTTTGGCATTATCTTCTTTGCTTAACCTGGATGAATTTGGGTGAGTAGATACTTTCTGGATGGTGCAAATGGTTAAACGCTGGACTACTAACCTAAAGGTTGGCAGTTCAAACCCACCCAGAGGTGTCTCAGAAGTAATGCCTGGCGATCTGCTTCCAAAAGATCGCAGCCCTGAAAACCGTACGGAGCAGTTCACATGGGGTCGCATGAGCTGGAATTAACTCAACAGCAACTAACAGCAACAACAGGGACTTTGTAGATGAACTTAATAACATCGAATTGGGAACTCAGTTGATAGAGTTGTGGGGGAAGTTTGTTCAAACTCATTTTAAGGATTGGATTTCTTTTTTTTCCTTTATTTTCTCATTAGGACCTGCAGTCCATTTCTTCTGACTCCCAGAGAGCTCATTACCAGGTAACACATAATTGACTCTCCTTGTTTCTTACCTTCCAGCCAGGAGAAGTCCCTCTTTCAGTTAATGTCTCATTTTGTTCGAGAGTCCACATCTTCCCTGGAGAGAGACTTCACCCTAGGAAGAACCAAGTTGTCAACCTAGGAAGTTGTCGTTCTGATTCCTTAGCATTTTCCTGATTTTGGACAGTCCTACTCTAGCACAAACTTGGGCTGCGGGTTTTCTCCAGGATCATTTGCAACAGATTATAAAATGATGTGCTTCCAGTGACCAGTGCTAGAAAACTCAACTCGAACTAGTGGAATAGGGAAAGAGTCTCATAATCAAAAAGCCCAGGTCAAGGGTGTGTTTCATGGACCATTTATTTGATTGTGATTGATGTGCCATTTTTCTGCTGCCCTTTCTGCTCTGATCTCCTTGTACCAATTTCACCTCTGGGCTGGATGGTTCCATGGTCCAAGACGGCCGTCGTTATCAACCAGGGCTGTGCCTTTCTCCTTCACATCTAGGGAAGAGAATTTCCTGCTCCCACACCATCAAGCACAAGTCCTAAAATGCAGTCTGATTGGTCCATCCTGGTCCATTGGACAGGATCAAATTAACCCAGTCTGCCTCTTTCTCGTATATGACCCACATCAAGTCCATGGGAAAACACTCAAGTATCGTTTGCCCCAGCGGACTTTGAGATTTCATTGTCTTCCCAACTACTGGGCTCTACTGTGCTGCTCAGGCCTCTCCAGCCATCCCCTTCCTTGATGGATTTCTCAGGCGTGATTCAGCACCAGTGCACAGCATCCCCCAACACTGCCAGGGACACATACAAAGCTCTCAGGTGGTCCCACTGAAGCCCTTTCTACGGGAGGCTCCTGTATCCTTTGCGAGGGGTGTGTGGGAACCACAGGACAGCGTGCCAACAACTATATGATGTAGATTGATTTCTAGGATTTTCTGAGGACCCATCTAAAATATGTTGGAGAGAGATGCTATTCGTTTTACGTCGAAAGTGACCAAAACAGCAGGCAGGAAACTTAATACTAAATCTTCTGTTTTCTAATTGTAATGCCGCAGCTGGTACTATCAGAACCTCAAGTCTGTCTTGGTGGGGCTGTAGGGAAGGATGTGGCTGAAATAACTATAAGAATCAAGGACAGCAAAAGGCTTTAAGTGCTTTTCAGTGAACTTACCTGTCCATGAGTTGGCATTGAATATGCTTGGAAAATTAACTGTGAGAGAACCAATAAACCCCAGTAAGTTTACAGACTTGAGAAGTTCCTGTCAGCTCACTAATTTGCAGCTGGAATTTTAGCTGACTGGTTTCTAAGGCTAGAAAAACTCAAAAGAAAAACAGCATTTGGAAAGGTGTACAAGTGCCCAAGCTACCTTATTAGTGAGCCATATGGCAGTTCCTAGCTGCTTAAGCACTTCATTGCTTTGGTTCCTTCCTGTCCCTAAGTCTGGGTGAATTGCCAGCAAAGCACAAGCTCAGAAATGACAGCCTGCATTAACCTAACGAGGCGTTAAGGGTTACACAAGAATGTGGTGGGTATTTATAGCCTGCTGAAAATCCCTGCCTACACCATCTCTGAGGTGAAAACACAAAGGGACCTCCATCAGAATGACATCTCATGGAACCTGTAGCTGATATGTCAGGCAAGCGAACTGCATGGTGCTTGCGGAATCAGGATATTCCCGAGCTTGGCAGATCGGCTAGAATTCAGAGAGAAATCAGACTCTATCTACCTATTTGATAAAGATGCTTCTTGAGGTCTCATACTATGGGGTAAATTCCTTTTCTCCTCCCTCCCTGGACTTCATTATACCCCTTCTTAACCCCAAGTTATGAACTTACTAAGGAATACAGGCAGATCCAGCCATTCTAGTCGTTCTCCCCTGGGGGAGACTTTGTCCCCCATAAAGGACACTTGGCAATGTCTGGAGACATTTTTGGGTGTTACAACAGAGGGACGGTGCTAATAGCATCTACTGAGTAGATGCCAGGATGCTGCTGAACATCTCACAATGCACAAGACATCTCCACACAGCACAGATTTGCTTCCCCAGCCCAAAATGTCCACAGTGTGGAGCCTGAGGAAACCCTGAGCCATTCTGATGGTTCTCAGGACATGACTGGGGACCACGGGACTACATGAGGAACAAGCCCAAGAGGAGAAGAAAGACCATTAAAAAAGGGAAAGAGAGAGGAAGAAGCAGGAGGAGAAAAAGCAGTGAAGGAGAGAGGCAGGTATGGCGACGATTGTTGTTGTGTGCCGTGAGTCCGTTCTGACTCATCCAACCCTGTGGCTATGGTAGGGGAGAAGAATGAGAGAACCGGGCTATTGGACCAGGAGCAAGGAGGGTTCCCCATTTCCCAGGGTAATGCTCTGTGGGGGCAGTGTTGTAGCACACAGGAGTGTGCTTTCCAGGATATGATGAGTTAATAATCTGTGATTTTAATAAATGCAATAGGATTAAATAGCAGGTATAAAAATGGCTCCATCCATTCTCTCTAAAAATTAATTTACTTTTAAAAATAACACTAGAATGGCTGAGATATTTCAAAACAGATGTGCTATTTTCAGAAGGTCTTCATTATCCCCTTGAGTAGCACAGGTATCTTTCACTTTCATAAGAAAAAGCTCTGGGTCGGATCTAAGTCTAATCCACGCGCTGGCTCATTCTCTGACGGGTTTTTGTCGACACACTTACTCCTCTGTCAGAGGATCCCTCTGAGTCATGTTCCACTGGAGTGCTGTCTCGTCCTAAGTCTTCAGAAACAGCATGTGATCACCAACATTTGATCGATGCCCCTTCTCTTAACTCCAGCTCTCCTTATTTATCTCTCTCCTCCGAAATCTCCTCCTCCTTCATTTGTTTTCTGGGTTCTAGAAGAGTCCTTTGATGGATGGGGTGCAACAGGTGTGAGGAGTCTTCCTGGGAATGAATTTATCTTGTCCTAGAGAAGGGCAGGGGCCAGCTAGGAACTGTGAGGACTGTTGTTTCTTCTGGCTGGATTGAAGCTGTCTGAAATGGCTCAAATGAGGAATTAAATTAAAACTTGCCTAGGGCCCTGGTGATGCAGTGGTTAAGTACCCAGCAGCTAACCAGAAGGTCAGTGGTTCGAATCCACCAGCCACTCCGTGGGAGAAAGATGTGGCAGCCTGCTTCCGTAAAGATTATAGCCTTGGGAACCCTATGGGGCAGGTTGTTATGAGTTGTAATCAACTTGATGGCAGTGGGATCTATCTATCTACGTGTGTGTGTGTGTAGATAGGTAGGTAGGTAGATGGATAGATAGATAGACAGACAGACAGATAGATGGATAGATAGAAAGTTATGTGGATATGGTTGTTGTTAATGGAGGACTTTCTCACAAAAAATGGAGCTCTTGAAAATGTTGGAGTATTTCCATTTCTATCTTCTATCATACCATCACTATTTCTCATCTTTCAAAGCTGCTTTTAAGAATGGACATCCCATGTCTGTGTTCTGCTGCAGGAGCTGTGGAGTGCTAACGCAGGTTTAAGGTGAAAGGGTTTCAAAAGATAAAAATGAGAGTATCAGGTCTATTAATTTGAACTCTAGTTGGGCAGAGACACATAAACACGTACTTCTACCCATCCCTACTCACTAAATGAGGAGAAATTGGTGTGCAACTTGGTGATGGGAAGAGAGAGAAAGTGAATGAATAGACGGGCTGGGTGGGGGACCTGTTAGGGCTGACAGCTGAGAAATGTGCCAGGGTAAGCAAGAGGGAAGTTTATAAGTAAGCTGATTGTTGATTGGACGTTACTAAATAAATCAGGGATTCCCAATCCAAGGGGACTTCTGTTTTGCCTCTTCTTATATCTAAATTCTATGAAAGGACAAGAATTTCATTCACAGTGAAGGTAGAGTTAAATGCTAGGTGAGTGTTGCTTAATTGGATAACCTACTGGAGTGTGTAATGGGGCTGCTGTGCCATCATTAAATTATGCACGCAGCAGCTCCAAGTAAGTGAATGTAAATTAAGGGCAAGTTTGGCCAGTGCATGCCAAGTAGCCATGCAGATGATTTCCTTACAAATTACATATAATTCATGCCATTTGACTTCCAGAAATAGACATATGCTAAATACCAGGTTTGCTTTTGTGCAGGTGGCTGTATTTTTAGCGTGAGAAACAGATTTCCCATTAGCATATATCGAAAGAGAAAATTCACATATCACAGATTTTTGAAATGAGCAGTTTTTGTTATTATTATTCATTTTAAAGTGCATGCAATTTTAGAAGATTATTACATTTGAAATAGAAAGGAGCATGGGATGTGGAAGGTTATGTCATTCTGCTTGCTTCCATTATTGGGCAATGACCCTTAAATACATCTAAACCACACCATTTATAAGAAGAAAAATAACAGATCCGAAAATGATCAAGTCAAGTCCCTTATCTCTTTGATGAATCATTGATTTGATTATGCAGTTTGAGAGGACAGAGAAGCCCTCAGTTACCCCCAGGAGTTAAAGATCTGATGGTTAGAGGCACAGCTCAGGTAGTTATGTGACTATGTTCTGAAAGGAGGCCTGGTGGCGCCGTGGTTAAGAGCTCAGCTGCTAACTACAAGGTCGGCAGTTCGAATCCACCAGCTGCTCCTTGGAAACCCTATGGGGCAGTTCTGCTCTGTCATATAAGGTCCCTATGAGTCATAATCGACACGGCACAGGTATCTTCTGAAATGTAGCTCCGTCTACACAATCACATTTCTTAAGTATCTACAGTCGGATGCTTTTGAAAGGTGTCTATGTTTCCACTTGTATTTGGGTGCTACCAGAAATTAGGTCACTGTAGATATTTTAATATGTAGCATTCCAATCAAGCTTATTTCTGACTGTTTGTGTTTAGTGATGAGGATATTGCTGTCCCTAACCGTGAGCTTCCATAGAGCCAAGGTCTGCCATTGGAGTCCATACTTATTCTGTTGTTAAACCAGTCCAGTTGATTCCAGCTCATTACGACCCCATGTGTGT